TCGTGCGCTCCACTAGACTCGGCTGTCAAATCTTTACGAAATACCAGAAAACTGACGAACACTTGAGTGAGTCACAGCCGTGGAACCCCCTTCCAATGTCCAACCTGCGGGATAGTGCTGTAACGCCGACAGGCACGCCGGGAAATGAAGTTCCGTCCTAGTTTATCTCGAAGAGCAGCACTGGACCAGCCCACACCACATGGGACTACATCTCCCAGAAATCGATTTGCCTAAATATTTACTGCCTTGTGCTTTTATTACAGGGGAGGATGTCAATCAAAAACTAGTTGCTGGAAATAACTTGTCTCTCACCTGTGAGTGAGTCAGAGTATTAAAACAAGTGAGTAACCAACATCACCGACCCATTACAGTTATAATCTGACGTATCAGCATTAACAGCGACAGCACTGCGCCTGGTAAAACTGTATTGTAACGCTTACGGGCGTTACAGTATTTTTTTCTCAGGCAGCGCAGGTACTAAAATAAGTTTCGCTTTCTTTCTTCGGCAGTATCGGTGTGTTACAGACTGCGCCAGAGAACGACACAGAGCAGGAAGTCTTCAGGAAACTGGGTGAGTTTCTGTTTTTTTATTTTTAAAAATGTTCTGGTTTTGTACTAATCAAGGCCGGGGGTGGGGGGAATGAAAACGGTGGTGGTGCTGGCATCTTTGCGAGCGGAGAAAGTGGTCTCTTCTCGTGTCTGAGAAAAACTGATTTAAATCACAACGAGTCCGCTACGCAGACTGGCAACAGTAGCCGAGAAGAGCAGACGGAGCTGATGGTGGAGATGATGACTATCAACAGCAATAATACATGTGGAAGAAATGTCACACTCGTCTCCATTGTCGTAAACATTTTTAAAGCCGTCATATCAAAAGTGAAACTTGAAGACGGTCACACGGTGTCTTTGCAGCTGATCAAGTTACACTCCTGCGCGAGTAACTTCTAGACACCCCGAGACACTTGCCGGACTGTCCTTTGAAAGCGGCTCTTCCTATAAGAGACAGCAGGGGACTTGACTATTATCGGTATAATTCGGGTCAATCCGGTGTCTTTGTACGGTGTATTCTTTATCCCGGGCTTTCCCGAGTTGATCCCGGGCTCTGTTTTTTCCCCACGATACGGGTTGTGTAGCCTGGGAAGCCTCCCTCGGCTCCACCGCGGAGCGCTGGACGGACTTTACTCGGCCTACAGCGCTGAGTAACACGCTGTTTTGTTTTTTTTCTTAAGTCACAGGCGGAGAGCTCTCTTCCCCCCTGGGTGTGCGTCTCGTCCCGCAGAGTCCAACATGAGTGAGGGCGCAGAGGAGCCCCCTACCTCCGCCGTCATGCCGGGGTCGTCCACGTACTCCCAGGTGGTCTTTAACAACGTGGGCCAGGCGTACCCGCCGGACAGCGCGGTGAAGTGCGAGTACACGGTCACCACGCAGTTCAAGCCCAACCGGCGGGACTGGCTCGGCATCTTCAGAGTGAGTGGTGGGGAGGGATTACTGAATTTGTACAGAAATAGTCTGTTGACGCGACAAATTCCTTCATGTGAATTATTTCCACTTCTACAGCATGGTGAAGTAGTTTGTTGCGGATTCCCAGAACCCAGAAGTTGAGATGTTTTTTTTTTTCCCCATCAGTTTCAAATTTGTCATGTTTGGCAACACAGCTCGATCAACAGGGGGTGGGAGACCTCTAAGTAAAAGCAAGGGTGCTAATTTAAAGTGGACCAGTAGGTGGCGCTCATCCCTGTGAAGCAGAATTCCCAAACGCAGGGCCCGTATGGTAAAAGGGGACTGTAAGACGCTGTAGTAGGACTTATTCTTTGACTCTTTGGATGAGACATTAAATCGAGGTATTGATTGCTTGCTCATTAAGGATCCCCTATGCTGTACATCAGAGTAGGGGTGTTAACTGTGTTGTCCTGCCTGAATTCCCTGAATTCAGCTGCTGAAGAAATCTCTCCCCTCACAGCTCTGCTGTGCAATGTGTCTGCTGTTCCTGCCAGTGCCCTTTGTCTGTGTTGCCCGGCCACAACTTCCTGCTTCCTGTCAGTGCGATCAGAGGCCCGAATGCCCAGTGACTCAGCCAGATGGGTCGATCGCTTTCACTTTTGGAAACCCAGGAGAAGCCGGCTGCTGGGACAGGCAGGAAGCAGGAGAGAATGCCGGGCGGAAAGGCTGTAGTCCCTCTTTCGGCGTTATTCCATTTTCCTGCCCCAGTACGACGCTGCTGTTATTTCTGAGCATTTTACGATACTCTGCCGCCAGGGGTGGGACTCTCTGCTCTGTTGGTTCCGATCGGAAAGCTAACGAACAGGAGCAGTTTACCGCTGTCCAGCAGGGCGATTCCGTGATTTCCGCAGTTAGGGGCATCTTGATCACAGAGCCGAGCAGTGGAAACATGCAGGCTCCCCCCCAAAGGCCATGGGGGTCTGCACAGCGTGCCCAGGGGTGCAGCGGGTGTGGGGCTGTGTGGGCGTCTGCAGAAGGTTCTGCTTCCTCCCCGTGGTGCGTGAGATCCGTGACGCCGTGTCCTTGTCCTCCTGCAGGTGGGGTGGAGCACCACCAGGGACTACTACACCTTCGTGTGGGTAGCGCCCCCTGCTGACTCAGAGGGGGAGGCACTGAAGGAGCAGCAGGTGGTTTTTCAGGGTGAGGCTCTGGGTGCCCGTGCCTGACGCGACACACACAGACACACCCTGACACGTGTCGAATTCCACAAGCTGCAGTTCCCCAACCGGCCCTGCTCTGCCCCAGGAGGCCCTGCTCTGCCCCAGCCAGCCCTGCTCTGCCCCAGCCCTGCCCCAGGAG